CTTTGTGCCGGTTGTCGATGTAGCCGAGAGCGTAGGTGGTGTAGCTGTAGTCGAGGTAGCCATGCGAAGAATGCCATGGTCGGTGTCGAGTCGGGGTCACCGGTGTCAAGGTAGTCGCCGTGGAGCCGCGGAAGAAGAGCAGCGGTGGCGGCGGCCTAAGGAGGAGGCGGCGGCGGCTAGAGAAGGAGAGTGGCGGTGGTGCTCGAAGTAGACGATAATGAACCCGACAGCGTGACGAAGACCGGTGCGGGCGGTGACGTTCCCGCGCCAAGGGAGGTGGCGCGGCGCATATCACGTGAAAGTCAACGCACGTGAACCGGTGGACCGCGGGTCGTAGCGTTACGGCCCGAAGGGGCGACGCACCGGCGGCGGGCAGGTCGGGGCGACAGCGGAGAAGGCCTCAGGACGGTTGCAGGGATCGCGTGCCACGTTCGCTACGGCCCGACGGGACGACGCATCGGCAGCGCGAGGGTCGGTGCAGCCTCGGGGACGGCCTGGAGCGGACGGCCTCGGTGCGGCGGTTGACCGCGGGCCGCGGCACTACGGCCCGAAGGAGCGACGCAGTGGCAGCGCGCGAGGTGGTGCAATCACGGGAACGGCCTCAGGGCGACGGCGGGGATCACATGCCGCGACACTACGGCCCGAAGAAACGACGCAGCTGTGGCGCAGATCGGTGCAGCCACGAGAAAAACCACGGAGCGACGGCACTGCGGTCTAAAAAAACAACGCAGGTACAACCCGTTGCTCGATCAACGAAGAGACGCGTTGTACTTAACGACGTCCGTGAAAATAAATCACGAGCACTCAGATGATCAATCTGATTGCCGTGAAGATGAATTGTCCGCTAGGGGCCGGACTTGGCAGGAGCGGGTGCAGATGCGCAGCCCTTAGGTGCAATCTCGGATGCCAACACAAGCACCTACATGCAACCGGCCAGGCTAGGCACACGTTGCCATGCGGGATGCACGGGCGATCAAGGCTTAAGCCGATGTAGCACATGCAAGGACGCGGGGCCACGCGGAGAATCGGCCAACGCCCAACGCTCGAGGAGGTAGCCAGAGTACATGTAGCGTGGGACGCGGGACAACGCGAGCAGCTGCCACGGCTGTGCGTTAAGTCCGTGCGACGACGGATCCAACCGAAGACGATGAAGTAGACGCGTGTTGAAGATGACGAATGACGGTGGGCGACGTAAATCAATCATAGATCGAAAAACCAAAAAAATAGACGCCGATCAAAGTGACCGGCAAAAGAGAGGAAAACCCTGATTAAAGGATCTGGAAAAAGACTCTCTGGGACCCTTACGGCTATGCTCCTTTGGAGCTTATGACGTGGGTAGCGGAAGCAGGACGGGCCGTAATTATTTATTGTATTTACTGGGTTTTAAACCCTGAACCTCTTGGTTGTAAGTTTATGCACCTAACCAGATCTGAGGGCCGGACATTATACTCCAATAAGAAGGATGCATGCGGTCATTTTATTAAATCTATTTGATTACATGTAATAGCTCTCTTGCACGGTTCCAAAAGAAAAAGTATTACACTTTTGCTAATTCCTAGGCAGCAGAAGTTATTGCAATCTAAGTTGACTTTCTAACCCAAAGTCGCACCATATTTCACTTGTGCTTGCACGTTTCAGAAAAGGGCATGATTCATGCCATGTATATAGAACATGTTGTTCTATTTAAGTTGTGATAATTTATGTCTGTTGATTTTAAATTTTAAACTTCTGTCAGGGTTTTGTGCCAACATTTTTAATCCTTCTTTCTTATATTTTGATCTGATCATTTTTAGGCCATCCTAGTCAACCCATCTGGGTTGCTGATAGATTTATAGTAGCACATATTATGAGCTGGTCCATTAAGAAAGTACTTTGACCAGTCAAGTAAACAGCCAACCTTCCTTTAAAAAGGTAAACATCCACTTTCCATAAAATCTACCTTCATTAGATGCAAATCACAAAGCTAACAACAAAGTGACTGAAACTTCAGTAATCTCAAGCAACTGTTCAATTGATAGGCCCCAGCCATCAAGGATTCAGACAGCCATATGACATACCAAGAGGGAGCTGCAGAGGTACTACTTGTACAAGTTGGAAGCAGAAGAACAGGAGCTAGTAAGAAATTTCAATAGTATTTCTGCCAAAATCATGAGGAAATTCGAAAAGAGAATGGAGATCGTCCTCATAGCAGCAGCACGACACTGCAAGTCTGCACTTTGATGATACACAATGTATAGATACACAAAATGGCAGCATTGCTAACTTTGCCCTTTGGTATGAACTTACAATATGTACGGCTCGTATAGTACAACATTACCCACTGAAAAGGAATGAGAACAAAATGTACAGCGAGTTGGAGAACTTGACTCAACAAATGATGGACAAACCACAATTGATATGGCATGCTCCAATCGCACAAAGCCAGAAGCCTGTGTTGACAAATGATAGATCTTCTGAACTCTGAACAGAAATAATATAGTTGCTTTTCCATCTGTCAGATATACAGATAATACACTCGCGGTAACAATGCTGTTCCCAGCCTGACCTATCAAAAATACGGCAGCAGCAACACCGTAGCTCAGATGCAAAAATTAGTTGCTGATCTACCACAATCCAAATCCAACGCAATGTCAAACTGATCAGAGCAGTCAGTAAATTGAATTTGATCCCAATCAGCTGTGCTGGAACCATATTTAGAATGCAAGGTTGTTGTTCAGCTTAAAGTGAGAGCTTTGTCACCCAATCTCCAAGTTGATTCCAGTGGTGCTTCATGTCGAGGTATCAGCCAAAGAGCCAAAACAAGCTCTGGGCCACTGGCTGCATAATACAGTTACAAGCTCAAGAAACTTCCAAAATGTCTCAATTATCTGTTCTGCACATACACTCTGGACAACGCGGATGTCTGAATATGCTCCTCGCAATTGGCCTCTCATGGACTTGCTTAGTTTGCTGTATGAGTTTGTTTACTCTTGTTTCAAATTCCTTCCACTCTATTGTGGCATTCTTCACAAGTATGCTGGCTAGGCGACGCTTATTTGGTCTTAATGTGGGAAGGTCCCCACCACCATAGTACATGCGGTATCCTTGAACAAGAGAAGAGAACTGGCTGCCTGGGTCAGTCATAGCAAATGCATCAGCTGATGCACATGCAATAAAGTCCAGAGCTGCCAACTGCAAATGGCAAGAGAAAAAAGAAATTATTTCATCAAGTATAATTAGAATGCATAAGGTGCTTTTTTTCGAATTAAGGAGCAGAGCTCCCAATTAGAACACAGTTGTTCGTGCTGACCCTCGAAAACGAAAGGTTCCACTTCTTTATCATGCATGTGCAGACTTTCATTCAAAATTCTGATATTAGTAATATTCTTTATCATGTGTGCCACTCTAGTGGTTCGAATTTGAATTTCACACATAAGTCACCTTTAGTACGGAACTGGCAAAAGAAATACTTAAGCTGCCCACATGAGCCACCTTTGGAGTGGAGCACATACAATTAGAGCATTCCTGGTGTTGCACATGCAAACTTGTATACATTTCAATCAAATTGCAGGCTATATCTAAGGTCCATACCCATCCGAGGCTTAAGGCCTTCAAGAAGTGTCTTTGCTTATGAATGGTTTACATCCATGTCTAACAACACTTTGTTTGCATAATTTTCCACCTATACACGGAATCAAATAAAACATCTTATCAAAAATTACCTGCGATGAGAAGTTTCTGAATGGTTCAAGCTCCGATGGGGACAGAAGTGTTTCTTTAGTTACTAAAGCAGGATAAAGGCGACTTATGGCAGCCATCCTATGCCTCCCTCCATAAATTTCAGCACCTGCAATATATATACTAGTCCTGCGCTTGAAACCAATAGCAGCGAGCATAAGCACAGCTTCTTCAGGTGCAAGGGGGCATTTGCCTTCAGATCGCAAGAAAGCAGCAGAGGGCAACCTGAAACAATAGTTGGACTTTCAGAAACGTATATTTTTTCTGAAAGGCAAAATATATTTGACTGGACAGCATTTGATTCGGATGGAACATTTTTCAACATTAGACATACAAAGAAGATCATTTCATTGTCATGAATGCCCAAACAGGGCATCAAAAAGTAACTGGAAATGGAAAGCATAGGATGGCATACATACTTTGTTGTCCTCTTGATTTCTGTCAGAACAGGAAAATGAATTTGACGATACATCTCTAATTCCTCTTCCTCATCTTTCCCACCACCAAAGTAACACATTGAGTATGCAACCATATCAATCTCAAATCTGAGATGAACTGCTAGATATTTGGACGACTCGTTCCTGTTCCCACTGGGGATGGATTTCCCAGCAAAATGACCTAAAAGATTATCTTGCAAAGGCGACAGATGGGGCATGTGGCCTTGCAATCTCTCTACAAGTAATGCACCAGTTTCTTGTATTTTGTGTACAAAACGAAGAGCATGAAAGTTACATCTGCATCGCAATCTCTGTAGAACAGTTAGCACATATATAGTTAGAACATGCTTTCAAATTATCATTTCTCACTAACACAGTGAAATTCTAATGCTTTATCCATGTTTCATGTATGTAATTTTAATATGTGGCTAAATCAGGAACAGAGAAATAAGAAACCTGGCAAACGAACATAGTTATAGCTTCTTCATTGTATCTCTTATGGGTTGGAACTCGTGTCATAGCTCTGGTATGCGTTTTGTAAAAAATACACTGCCCACCACCAGTATTTATGCAACCTAGACTAACAATGTTTGAAGAGAACTCATGGTATTTAACACGCATATGGCTTTGCAGGTAAATGGAAACAAACAATAGAAAATGGCAATACCTGAAGTTGAAAAGGTATCGGGTCAAAAGATAAGCGGTTGCCAAATCCTACAAAGTGGACAACTCTGTTCTTCAGTAAAATTGGTAGTATCTTTTTTACATATATACTTGGCTTTGCCTCTTTCATGACATCTGTATCATTAACCTACAGAAGAATAAGAGTTGGGCAATACAGTATGAGCATCAAAACCATTTTTCCACCTCTAGAGCTTTCTGGAAATCAGAGATTACTTACAAGGCTACCAATTGCCTCCAAATCTAACGATTGCAACTCCAAAGGAAGCTCCTTCACAATCCGAATATCAGGTTTCAAATATTTGATAAAATAATCCTCCTGATATATATCTCGAAACTGGCTACGATATTGAATTTAATTGTACTTTAGAACATAATAGAATTATTCAACCACTGACAGAAGCTATCAACACATAAGACTAAGATTAACTTATTTTGTAAGGAAATGTTGAAATATACCTTTTGTCCAGCCAAACATTACTGTACAAGAACTTTGGAATGACAAGAGTTGCGTTGAGCAACCGGGATATGGTAACGGCATTGCAGATCTGTTAGAAGATAAACCAGAATGCAGTTAAAATTAATGAAATAAGTTTGAATAGCAGTTAAGAAATCTAGAGCTTGAACTGTAGTTTCCTTCCAAGATTTTTTCTTCTAATTAGACCAGCAAAACTGAAAGATGTTTCAAATTACATAAGACAATAAAATGTTTACAATCCTCTTGCTCTAACTTGCTGTGAAGTGAGAGTCTTGTGGGATTCATGCTAATGATGTTTGTCATCCTTGGCCAAGCTTTGACATCATATTTATGGCAACCCTTTTTATAAAGAGGATACGGATTCAACACAGAACATAGTACATAGTCTGGATAAGTCATAACTTGCTTTAAAAATGAAATGCATTAAATTTATGACCCCTTAAAATGAAGTAAAGTGTGATATTGATTACAATTATTCAGGTAATGAACAACCCAGAGTCTCGTATGATGTTAGAACTCAAGTAAACCACCATCCTCCAATCCATCAAGGAACGAAGAAAACAGAGTCTTCTTCCCATAGTCTATTTGCATGTAACAACTGCAGACCTCTTCCACACTAAAACCTTGAGGACTAAATAGAGTGCATCTGATGTTACACAAGTTAGGACTACTCACCGCTACCCTTTGCTGGTTTATTCCACCATTTGCACTGATGATGATGTAACCATTGGTTCCCTCTGTAGTTAACAAACATGAGGCTAATTAAAACAACAGAGTGATAAATCATAAAACAAAGAGGGGGGGGGGGATCATTGATACTGTGTGGGTATGTGCAAAACAGCAACAGTAATGTTTACCTGATGAACTGATATTGCCTGATGCTTCCCAATCCCTTTGGTCAGAGCAAGGTTTCCACAAAGTAGCATTTATTGGCTCTTTCCATAGGTCTTTGGGTTCTGGCCTATTATCTGCCTAGGTGATTAACAGTACACATTAAAAAAGAAAAGTTTTCATGAACATCCGAACCAACTTTGAACTTGAGATGAACACATAGTTGCATTTATGAATGCTTTGCTACCTCTGCCAAAGCATGGGCCACCAAAGCGAGCAGGCGTGTGAGCATGACCGGGTGAGGCCTCTTCCCCTTTTCAGTAGCATTCACCTCTTCCTTGAAACATTTGAAAACACAAAATCATCCCTCGGTAATGTTATATTATATCCAACAGCATACATGTTTATCTTTATACAAAAAAAAGAAGATAGCTTTCATTCCCTCAAGCAAGATGCACCTTACATGGCATCCCATAATGACATTGTCCGTAAAAACAATAATGTATGCCAGTAATGGAAATAAGGAGGGTGTATTGACTAGTCCTGGGATTATAGTACCCCCGGTGCTCCCAAGCAGAGAGAAATCCTCTAACAGTCATGAAAATTTCTGAAAATAACGAAATATCAACATTAACACAGCATGCACCTGCAATAACATAAAAATTCAAACCCAAATTTGGCCTACACATTGATAAACGGAAAGGACGAATTCTGCTGTGAATAATGTCTGATCCAAGTCAGGTGAGTAATAGCCCACAGAGTCAGACAATACTGACAGCAGGATTGTTTTTTTTCCTTCTCGATGTGTAGTTCGAATTTAGATTTGAAATCTCTGACATGGTAGGCGCATATCATGAAAATGCTGTCCTTTTTCTCCATAAATTTCCATGACCTCAAGAGAGTGGGTTTCTGAGCTCAATGGTACTAAAGCAAGTTGACGGATAGTAGATGTACAACTACGAAGTATTTGTCGAAGAACACAACATTAATTTTGAAGCTTATGAAATAGTAGCTCAACATCGCGACACACTGCATTTTGCTATTTTGCACTCTTTCAAGTCCGCCGGCTAAAAACCCTCTTAACCAAAAAGCCAGGTTGCGGAATGTAGCACCGAGCCATGTTCTCCGTCCCCTAGAAGCAAGCATAACCCGAGGACCTAAGCCGGATCAAAGCCAGGAAGCACTCAAAGAGAAGCACCGGCATTACCAGGGTGGAGAGCGAGGAGTTGGTCGCGCGGGGCGGGTTGCGGCGGAGGCGGAAGCGCGGGCGCGTGGCGGGGTCCTGGAGGTGGGAGAACATCCACCAGTTCATGAGGAAGAAGAAGGCGACCAGGGCGCCCCAGCAGAGCAGCCCGCGCGGGCGGCGCCACGCCCTGCGCCGCCGCCGAGCCCGCAGCACGGAGGCGGCCGGGGAGCTCGCAGAGGCCGGCGGCGGGAGCAGCGGCGGCGGCGACGCCGCCTCCGGCATCGCGGGCGGCGGCCGGATTTGGATCTCAGGCGCGCGCGCGGGGAGGCAGGGGATTTGGTGGAAGTGGGAATCGAGCGAGCTGCGTGGGTGGGAGTGGGATGATCGGCGTGGGTTTAGCGGAGTGCGGCTGCGATTGAATGCGAGCTTAGTTTAATTGATTGATTGATGGAAAGTGTGTTGCACGCTGGAGTTGTGTGCAGATCGGAGGAGGGAGGGATGGGTTAAAAAGTTCGTTAGCTGTAGGCGTGGCACCGAAGGAAGGAAGCTGTGCGGACGGACACGTGAGGTGAGCGTGCTTCTTCCTCCTTTTCTTTTTCTTTATTTTGAAAAGGATCAAATCTACTATAAAGATTCATCGGAAGTACAAAGCACCTCTAACTTAATAAAAATTACATCGAGATGACCACGGAGCGACCATTGCCGTCGCCTAAACGAGCCATCGACGCGTCGTTGTCGCCGCTCCCATACCAGAGCCGGCCAGACCTTGTCGATGACAGTCGAGAAGTCTTCGTGCACGTGCCCTTAAGGACCAGCGCCCTAGAGCCGCAGTCATCGTCTTTGAATCCTTGAATAGATCTAAAGAACCTGACAGCAAATATCGTTGTTGCGTACACTCAACGAGAAAACCCTAACCTTGTCGCCCCAAGGAGCTGGCAGGAATGTACGCCGGAGCTCCATCTAATCCATCCTAACGAACGAACTTGAGGAGGATCGGAGCTCAGAAGACTGACTCGAAGAAGGAGCGCCGCCATCCGTCCAAACGCCGCCCCTATGAGGACTAAAACCCTACCTATCTACTAGCAGGAGCCGGGACACCAGGAATCTCCTCCCCGCCACCGGCCGCCGGAGTGGCAGGCAGAGGGGAGGCAATCCACGGATTGCCTGCGGAGATCGATGGGAGGAAGGCTTTCCCAAAATGCCTTGGGAGAGAGGAAAGAAAAGTGTTGTCGTATGTGCTACATATATGAATTCAGAGTTAGGGATGGTTCTTCTGGGCTAGGCTTCTAAAATAAAATTTTAGGTTAGGCTTAGAATATGTTGGAGAGGGGGCAGCTTATTTTCACAGCCAGTCCTAAGCCTCAAAAGAATTGGCAGGCTTCTGAAAATAAAATTTTATGTTTGACTTCTAGAATAAATTTGGGAGGGGCAGCTTATTTTTACAGCCGGTCGGAAGCTCCAAAAGAATTGGTAAACTTCTAAAAATAAAATTTATGTTGGGTTTTTAGAATAATCTCGGGAGGGGCATATTATTTTCACAGCACCCAAAAGAACTGGCCCTTAATTTTCGTCAAAAAATCAGAGTTAATACTAGCGCATTTGGTACATAAACTTGTACTCATGGGACAAAATCATACAAGAACTAAAAACATAGAAAAGTGGCCCTTTAACACTAATGCGGATTTAATTTCCTACAAATTGCTCCCATGGTGACACTTGGCATGCCACATCGGCTTGCGGCATGCACCCCTCTCTCGGTAAATTCCGAGAAAATCTCCCAACGGTGTACCGGTTTTACTTTAGAAGGTTCCTAGGTAGCACTACCCAAATCCTTGGCACGCGGCTTCAGATTCCCCAATTCCCCTTTTCAAAATCTCTAGTCGCGCGTGACGATGTCAACGCTGCCAACCTCGTATGCCCTCACAGTTGGCAGCAGACCGTTGTACCGTGTCATAGACATGAAGGGCTCCATGACGGGCTAGAAGCAGGAAGAAAGCAATGGTGTAGGGATAGCGTCCTCTTCAAGCTAGGTTCGCCTGCTTGTCGATTGTGACCTCGGCAGTGTTGACAGGGGCAAAGGACGATGAGCCATGGGCGAAGATCATTAGCAAGGCGCATTATATGGGTGTTGATTTCTAGAAGTTGTGGTTTTTCTATTTAATGTTAGAACTTGTTTGGTCTATCTATTTGGTATTTGGGCAATGAAGAACTATGAAATTGTAGGGGATAAAAACCCTCCCTAAATTTGAATGGGGGATACTGTCGTGGTTCTAACTCTGACAGTGATGTAGGGGGGTATGTATGGAGAGGCTAGATCTTAGCTATGGAGGAGTTGTAAGCACACGAGGATTACGAGTTCAGGCCCTTCTCGGAGGAAGTAACAGCCCTACGTCTCGGTGCCCGGAGGCGGTCGACTGAATTATGTGTGTATGAATAACAGGGGTGCCAACCCTTGATACTGAGGAGGGGGTGGCTTATATAGAGTTCGCCAGGCCCCTCCAGCCCTCAGTAATGCAAGCTTTAAAGTACATTAAGACTGGGGGTTACTGGCAACGCCCCTAATAAAGTGCTATGATGACCATAAAAGCTACTTAATGACCGACCGTTTGCGTGCAAGGTGACTTTAGATCTCCTGGTCGAGTGGTTGGAATTTGGTTGAGTGATTGCTTCGTGGTCGAGTGTCTTGAATCTGTCGAGTGGGATACCTCCAAGTCGATTGAAAGGTGATTTCTTCTAGGGATGTCCTTGGGTAGGGTACTTAGGACAGGTCCATGCCCCTATCCTAGGTACATAGCTTCATCATTAGCCCCCAAATGGATCGAGGTTCGAGTGGGGAAGGAGTTGGGGATCTTTCCGACTGGTTCTTCATGTTATATGAACGTCTTGTTTTGGATCAATTGTCACGGATGACGTCGTCAACTTCTTTCAGACACCTTGATCCATTCTTGGCCTCTTGTCGAGTGAATTTCTTTACTTGTGAAGTTCTGAGTGACGGTGTGAAAGGGATCTTCTGTTTGACGAGTTGTTCTGCGGCCCGCGGATTTTGCGGGATTTGAATTTTGGGAAGCGCGCGGGACGGGGGCGGCCGCAGTAATCGGATGGGATAGGACGGAAGCTCCTCGATCCCCGCGCCACCTTTTTCGCCACGTACCGCGCGCGCGCCTGTTGCGGGATTTGACGGGATTGCCTGGGCCTACCAGTCAGCCACTCGAAAGCGACCTCTTATAAGCTGCCGGCTCGGGACCCCCGAATAGTGCGCCTTCACTTTTCCCCCTTCCTTCACAAGATCCTCCGCCACCTCCGCTCCCACCTTGGTGCCGTAGGTCTGTTTGAGCTTCACCGGCGACGATGGTGAAGGAGAAGACGTCGGCTCTGGAGCGCGCGAAGAAGGCGGCGGTGCAGGGGAAGGGGAAGAAGTCCGCTCGGGGCGGATCTTCCTCGAGGACTGCTCTGCCCAAGGATTGGATCCAGGGCGACTGGATGCCGTCGGTGATTCGACAGGATGATCTCGATGATCTGGTCGAGGGGGGATTCATTCCCCACGAATCTGCGCGCCTCCCGGGGAAAGAAGTCGAACCCCAGCCTCTTGATGGTGAGTGTGTCCTCCTCGCCACCCATATCGATCGTGGATTCTCTCTGCCTCCTCATCCTTTTTTCCGGAGCTTCTTGAACTTCTTCGGAGCGCAGCTCCATCACTTTACACCCAATTCTATTGTGTATCTTGCTGCTTTCGTTTCCTTGTGTGAAAACTTCTTGGGTTGCCGCCCCCATTGGGGACTCTTCAAGCACATCTTCACTTGCCGCTCTCAGTCGGTTAAGAAGGCCAAGTCGAGTGACGAACGGACGCGGGTGATCCAACTGTGCGGGGGCCTGGCGATCCAGATGAGGGGAAAAAGTTCCTTTCCGTCTATCACTTTTCCCGAGTCAGTCCGTGGGTGGCAGTCGACTTGGTTTTACTGTAAAGACCAGGTGACCCCAGGACAGTCGACTGGGCTTCCCCCTTTTTCTCTGAATCGAGCACAAAAACCTGCCTATCTGAAAGTGACGCCGGAGGAAAAGGCGCAAGTCAAGGTGCTGGTCGGTCGAGTGGTTCAGCTTGTCCGCGAGGGTGTGACTGGCATGGACTTGTTGGAAGTCTTCCTTCGGAGGCGCATCCAACCGCTTCAGGCTCGTGACCACCCGATGTGGCTGTACTCGGGTCTCGAAGACACCACTCGGATTCACCCAGAGGAGGTCACTGACGAGATGTTGGAAGGGTGGCTGTCGAGTATCACAGGGAGCAAGGACAACCCCCGAGGAGCCAGGAGGATTCCTCCACTCGACCAAACATAAGAAGTGGACAAGGTCTGACCTTGCGTTTCCGACTGTGATCTTGCTTTCTTTATTTGTTCTTTTTGGATCAGTCGATTGACTTTTGTCTCGTTTGTTGTCCTCTAGGCCACTACTGAGATGTACTCGACACCCAATGGAGCACAGGAGCAGGCCGAGGAAGGAGAGGCGAGCGGAGGCGAAAGTGGAGACGAGGGAGAAGAGTGGGAATCTGACAGCGAAGGAGAGGGGGATGACGACGACGACTCTAGTGAAGAGGAGGAGGAAGAAGTCGAACCTCCCCGCTCAGAACGGCGATCCAAGCTTACACACGACCCTGCGCGGGAACGTGGTAAGGCGACTGTCCCTGTTGGGCAGTCGTCGAAGCGCCCTCGGACCTCATCTCCAGCGCTGACAGAAAAAGCTCCCAAGCACCCACGCGCGACGCCGTCCAAGCCACCCAAGGCTCTGCCCAAGATGAAGATGACTGTCCCCACCATTTCTGGGTAATAGTAGAATTTGTTTTCCTTTGTCGAACGTGACGGACTCTTGGTCGACTCATTGAATAAGCTGACTGACTTTCGAAATTTGCAGTGCTGCCACCTCGGAGATCTCCGCCAAGGACGATGATCAAGAGATGGAAGACGCTGTTACCTCCAACCCCGGTACGATTACTGATGCTCTGCTTTTAGTCGACTGATGATTTCTTATAATTCTGGTCGATTGGATTTTTCTTGTAGCTCCTCCTCATGTCATTGACCTCCCTGATGATGACGACGAAGTGCCGCTGAGGGCGCGAAGGAACAGGAGGGCGCCGGCTAGCAAGACCCCACAAACTACTCCGGCGCCTGAGGCCGCAGTCCGGGAGGGTGGTGATACCACTCGGGTTTCTGTGACCTTCGCTGAACCTCTGACGAGTGTCCGGCCTTCGACGTTGACTGCAAATCCGCCTTCGCTTTTTGCCACACACCACGTCCCTGAGGACCAAGTGGGTGCCGCTAAAGAGGCTATACGCCAGGCGGGGATCATGATGGAGCAAGTGAAGGTGGTTCGGGAAGCCAGCCAAGCAGCTTATGACGCGAGCTCAGCTCTTCAGAGCAACGTCCAGGTCAGTCGATTCACCGCTTGTTCTGTTAGGATATGCTATCTGAAGAATCTCTTTTCCGAAGATCTTTATATCTGTACGCCCACCGGGTGTGTCTATTAATCTTTTTGACGAGTGGGGGCACGCTAAGTGCACCCACTGGGTGTAGTCCCCGAGACTACGGTGGACTGCTGGCAGTCGACTGTAGTCTTTATATTGTGTTGCTTTAGCTAAACTTCTTCACTCGGTCTGGTCAGGCCATGTTGAATGGAACTGTACACGGTCGGCTGCGGGCAGTCGATTTTTTT